GCTTCAGGTGAACTGTTGAGGAGAACCTTTTGGGTTATTTGACCAATATCTGGATTTCTTATTGCTTATATTAACACGATATGAACAATAAAAGCATTAAAATATACCAAATATATATTTGGAATTAAAAATGTATAAGAAGTTCAAGAGATTAGAGAGAGAGCGAGAGAGAGAGAGAGAGTTGCCACACATTATAAAATACACAAAATGTGGCAACTGTCAAGCGAAATTGAAAGCAAGGTTCCTTCACGTCACGAATAATTCAAAACAATGCTTTATTAAATACTTTGTTAAGTCAAACCTATAATTGATAATACGCATATTAACTAAATGCAAGTTATATTCTTCTAATGCAGCTGTTTTCTAATTTATTTCATTAAATATTACTTATCTCACATCTGCCTGATGTTAATCATCATCATAATGAAATATTAAGAAACAAATTACTTAACACAACATTTAAGATATGGATGGAATGCTATAAATAACCAAATGACTAAATCCAATCGAAATTAATTATGGAATTGCAGGTCAATTTTTTATGCTGGACCTTAGAAGATGCACAGCCTTCTGTTGGGCAACAATGCCAGTGAACACACCCATTTCGGTAATTGAAATAAAAATGTTTAGTGCACATAAATTTTGTAGACTACCTACGAGAAATTCGTGCAGCCCGTACTCGAACGTACAACTTATCTGGGCCGACTGCAGAACTGCATAAACAAATAACAATAATATTTTAGAGCGGAGAGGGACAGTAGGTGGCAGGCAGGGCTCGTGTATCTTGATTAAAAACGCCCACGAGAGGCTCACGGACAAAAACCAATCGATTCTTTTTTGTTACTGCTGCTGCTGCTGCTGCTGCCTATAAATTTAGTCCAGCATAACTGTGCTGCGTATTAGTGGGGATTATAATAACAACAGCAACAGCAATGAGTGTCTAGATTCCCAGTCAGGCCTAAATCGGTATAGCTTCTAATAGCATGCAAAATAATTCATGAATTTATTGAAATTTATATGGCATAAGCATGCATAGAAATCGACTAAGGCAAATGTATCTTATGGCTGCAGGTTGACTTCTTTTCTATTTTGAATACCCTGCATAAAGCGTTTCAAAAGGTTGTATCACAGTTCCAAAAATGTATATATCAGATCACAATAGAGTATATATATAGTTTTGATCAGGACAAATAAGGTTTTTTTTTTTCGTATGATTCTCCCTATTTCTGCAGAATCGATAAAAATCATTTTTCAGTGTCTTCTGCGCTCTGCAGCCACCAAATTTGACATGTGTTCGTTCTGTTTTTAATGTGATATCTTAAATATATACAAAACATCATTTTGAAATTGGATATATGCACATATTTATGTGCCATATTTATGCTCAAAAAAATCTATAATAACATTTTTTAAAGTAAGGAGCGAAGGAATGATTGGCAGGCCGTGTAAGCCGTATAGGACCTGATTACAGGGCATCACCTAGTCGGACATATTCGACTACTAAAGCACTCTTTTAGTTGTTTTCAACTTTTCTGTCGTTTTTACCCTCTTCTGCCGACTAGGCTGGTCCAAAAGGCTGCTGCCAAGTGGCTAACAAACGTTTGCCCAACGACTTTTTGCCAAGATGAAATCGTAGAAATTGAATTGAAGTGAATTGTGTCGACTCAAAGGGAGGGACTAACATGGTGGGTAGGGGGGGTATAGAGCAGCGGGGTGTAGCTAGCAAATGGCAAACGATATGCGTATCAATAGAAAAACAGAGCATCGCCAGACAACTTATACAAATAGCACATAAAAACTAAGACCCGTTTGAGTCCCGGGCAAAAGCCAGTCAGGGCATGTGCTCACACATATATATGCATGCATTCATATATACATATATATGTATATGTATCTGTATGCATATATCTTGAGTAGTGATAACTTCTTTCACGACTTTTGCCTCCTACTGGGCACCCGCACACACACACACACACACACACACCGACTCACACAGACACACACGAGAGCCAGGCGCAAGTTTAATGTAACTTTTCATTCTGTTGTTGTTGCTGTTGCTGTTGCTGTTGCAGCGCTTTTCCTCGCTTTTCATTCTTTGCGTCTGTTGCCGCCTCTACTATTTGTATATCTTAAACGCGTTTCGCTGTATCTACTTAAGGCAGCTTAAATATTTGTGTAACATAATACAAAACATACGGGCTTCTTTGGTTATACTTAGATACATAGCTTAGATACTCGCATTTGGCCATAGGCAGCCCAGACGCAGACGCGGCAGGAGCAGTGGGCGGAGAGGTAGGAGCCCCGCAGGAGACAACATTTGCTGGTTTTACTGTTTCTACATTTTGGCAAAGACTCGCAGCATTACACAATATGCACGTTATGTTGCGTTCGGCAATGATCAAAACAACATTCAATTATGTGTCGAAGAAATCAATATAAGAAACAACATTTCATTGGATCACAGCGGCTTTGCTTCATCTGTCTGCTTCTGATTTTGTGGTTAACTGGACTTTTTTGGGACTTGGACTTTACTCCCAATTTTGGGGAACCTACCTCCAAATTTTCGCATCTTTAGCTAACATAGGCTTTGGGATTTGAAGACCAGAAAGTCTATAGCGATTTTGATGGATTTCGTGAAAGCGGGGAGATTTATCGTTGCAAAAGTAACCTTCTACGGACAAGTCTCTAGCTCTTATAGTCTCTGAGTACAGCGGACGGATGGAGTAACAGATCTGTCTTGATCGACTAGACTCTTCTAAGCAAGAACATGTGGGGAGAACTCTACCCTTCTTAGCCGGACATTTTATATCCAATAATTAGAATTTAATGTACAATCCATAAATCACACGACCTCCATTTACACCAACGCTCCTCTCCTCTTGCCCGACGATGGCTGTCCGCTCAGGAGAGTTTTAACTGCATATCCTCTACCCATTATCAATGGCTTGATTTAATTAGTTAGCCGCTTGAAGAGCTCATGCTCTAACTTATTTCATGCATAAATACTAAAGTATTCACTGTCTAACAGAGAGAAAAAGTAGCTTAAATAAAAAACTACCGAGTACTTCAAATGACATTGACATAATGCTGGCTGGATTCAAGTTGTGTGAATTGTTCCTAATCATCTGTAAACATACTTAAGTGCATTTTTACAGCGGAGCCTCATTAATTGGACAAAGTGCGAGACGCTTGTGTGTGTCCACTGTGCAGATAAATATATATATATTCAGGATATTGGAATTTCGAATGTGACGCTGGACGTGACGTTTTGTGCTGCTGACGTCCTACTGATTGTGTCTCCTGCTTTGCTTTGGCTTCTATTTTTTTTTTCTTTTTCTTTTTGTCAAACGCTAATGCGTTGTACAACACGGAGAGCATGGGGACAGGCAATCTTTATTTGCGGCACGTTGTGTTCCTACCAAAAAAACAAAACAAAGAAAGAACACACGCGCTGATACGAGATGGCAATACAGATAGAGATAGCTCAAGAGATAGGGAGCATGTTGGATAATGGCTCTGGATGTCGTCCCGATATTTGCCTAGTGTCACATGATACGCACGACGGCATTTGCCTCATTAGAGTGCTCCTCAGGCGGACGTTGTGCCCAGGGCCAAGTAGTTAACCAAAATAGCAGAATGCATTTTGCAGACATCGACAAAAACAACAACAACAACAACAACGGCAGGAACGAGCGAGTCGTATCTGGTGGACACACATCTGGTATCGGGCAGAACGTTTCCCATTTAAAATGTAAACAAAAACAAAACATGCTGCCCGCACATTTCGGACACAAACAAAAGGAAACGCCGCCTGCGAAGTCATTAAAAGATGCAGATAAAACTGAAAACCGCACACAGTCGCCATTCTGAGAGTTGAACTTCGTATCTGTATCTTTTGCTGTTCATGAAGTGTGTGTGCATGTGTGTGTGTGTGTGTGTGTGTGTGTGTGTGTGTGTGTGTGTGTGTGTGTTTGTGTGAGTAGGCGCTGACAGACGAAAACAACATGAATTAAGCATATTTTTTTATCGGCAGTGTAACTCATCCCATCGATTCCAATCATCAGATTGAACGACCTGATGCCTTTTTGGCTGCTTTCGTTTTCTTATCTTGTATGCATTTGATTTTGATTGTCTTTATGTCTTAATTAGTTAACTGCTTTCACAGTCGAGCGCTTCTCTATGCAAATGCATTTTAGATGTCCATACGAAATGAGTATCTTGCATGCACGTCGAATGCTTCGCGCTTGACAAACATTTTTTTTTTTTCATGATTTTAATCTTTTAATGCACTTAAGCCGGTCATAATGTTTAATGCGAATGGAAAATGATTGTCATGTCATTTGTATCTGTTTTTTATCAATGCACATATTTCTGTTGTAACCAATAATTCAATTGGTTTATTAGGTACCAAAACAATTAATGTTTAAGCAGAAATATACAAAGAATAAATAGAGATTTAACAAGAGAAGGTTTTTACATCTTACACAGAAAAATCATCAGTATGTTTATAAACATATTTCTCTAGGAATTCTTTTTTCCAGCTAGACAATTTATTAACACAAACATTTTTCAAAGATTGTTAAATCATTTTATAGGAATGTATATAAGGATTGTATATAAACCATTTTTATTAATAAACTCAAAAAATAAGTAGAATAAAGTTAAAATATGATATGTTGTTATCGATAGTTTGTTATCAATATATTGTTATTGATGTATTGTTATCGAACACTCAAAACTTTTAATTTTCAGTACAAACTCTACTTACATCGTCTAGCAGGACGAAAAACTGAAACCCTGAGTCTCTGCCCGAGAGAGCTTTGATTGTATTCTCCTTTTTTGGCAATCTGAACAATTCATTATTTCCAATTGAATTCAATTGAAATCTAATTTATACTTGTCCAGATGATAAAGACTTTACTGATTTCCATAATATACCCATTACTTTTGACATATTATAATATTTTTGAAATGATAATATAACCGAATTGGGATCTTACCTTTTTGAGTGTCCGACAATGGTGTGAACTTTTTAATCAAATGAAATTCCCAATTGGGTTTTGAAAGGGAATCGCCAATGGAGAATTTTCAGCTGCTAGGCGTTACTAGCTTTCTCTTCTTCTTGTTGTTGGGCCTGCTGCAGGTTTTGCTGCTCCTGTAGTTGTTGCTGTTGTTGACTATACGATTGCTTAGATAGTTGACATTCGAATCGTTGCGCACAGAATTGATCATTTGCCATATCGAAATTGTATATCGATAAATGTTATGATTGCTTTTGCTTTTGCTTTTGGTTTTGCTTTTGGTCTTGCTTTTGCTTTTGGTCTTGCTTCTTGCAGATCGCTTGTCGTAGTTAAACAAATTATAGACACTTACACGAGACAACACCGAAGAACACAAATTATTTATATTTTTACTTTATACGAATGCCGAGTAAATAACAACAACAACAACAACGATGATGATGATGATGATGACGACAAATATTGTACATATGTACAGAGCAGTATAAAATATACACAAGCACACACGAACACACACACACACACAGAGAGATAGAGATAGGTGGAGATAGATTGATTAACGGTTAGGAGACGCGCAGGGTAGACGAACCGAAATAAGTATAAATAACTAACACGCGACGCGAAAAGTATGCAACACTTTAATTTTGTCAATTCAAAAGCCTCATGATGATTTGTTCCTTTGAAATTTGTATTTTTGTTGTTGATAGCTCCGTTTTGGATTAGCCTTAGTGGCCGCAGGACACTGGAAAAATGATAGAAAATATTTCACATATTCGATTAAATGACGCATAAACAATTGCAGAGACCGCAGGCACAGCAGGAATTTTCTTATTATGACAATGACAACACACACGGCAAATTGGTTGGCAACGCGCAATGCACGGCCAAAGGACAACGACTGCAGCCAGCGCCAGGCGAAAGATGTGCGAAGAATGAGACCAAGAGTGAGAGAGAGAAAGATTGAGAGAGAGAGAGAGAGCGCGGCGCCAGCGTCAACAGCGGCGCCAGCTACGATGCGAATGGTATAGCAAAGCAGAGTTAAAAACATGAGGCACTGCCACCGAGGGGGGTAAAACGGCAGCAAGAGCCAAGCATCGAGAGAGAAATTTACATAGGGCAGCTGCCACCACTCACACACGCTCACAAACACACACACACACACACACAGGCTTATTGTGTTGAAACGCCGCGAGAATGGAATGCAGCGAAACGAATGGACAGCACAAAATGTGCGCAACAAAATGGAAACAGGCACTTGAAAATAAACAAAATATATAAAAAAGGATAATCCGCACACACACACACACACACACACACACGCACATAGTACCACAATGTGTTCCAATGCCAAACTGTGCACAAAACACCAGGCGGCATGGCAACGCTCTCTCGCTCTTTCTCTCTTTCCCCTTCGTTGTTTCTCTCTCTCTCTCTCACACACTCTCTTGCTCACGCTCTCTCTATATGTGTGGTGGCAGCAGGAGGTGTGTGTGGCGCGCCAGCAGAAAAATCAATGAAAAATATCTGGAAAAGTTATCCAAAAAATGTTTCCATTTTTTGTTTGTGCCGCTTTTGTGTTCTGCGGTCTCTGCTTTAATTCTTTCGCCGTCTTTAATGTAATGTATTATGTATTTTTTTTTTTGTTTGCTCAATTTGAATTTAAGATAATTTATGGAAGCTCATGTGCCAATTGATTGCTTTATTATTGTTGTTTAGCAACACACAAACAAACACACACGCACACACACACACACGCATGCACAAAAGAAACAATATGCCGCTTTAACTAAAGCAATTGATTAACGGGATTACCATTTACCGTATAAATGACACGCACTTTTCAGACACAGTTCGCGGCACCGATTTGTTTATCTGTTGTCAGTCAGTCAGTCAGAACTGCTGCTGCTGCATTGCGACCAGACAAAGCCCGTGGCAACAACAGACATCAGAACGCGAACGCGACACATGAACACGCGACTCTCTCGACGACGTAACAACAACTCAGCCGGAGTTTCAGTTGCAAAGTACAACGGCACCGAGTGCAGCACACATGCTACAGCAGATACATGTTGAGACACATGCTGCTACGCAAGCGAGTGAAGCAGATTTGCCAAATTGGGCGACCCTCCTTGCTGTCAACAAAATATGTTTAGGAACATGCACACAAGTCCAACAAACACAATGGCTAATAATGTTGAGGCACATGTTGCCCCACTTTGCGCATGATGATAAGCATGTTTCACAACATTTTTGTTATTGTTTCTCTCCTGCGCTCTCTCAGGCTTGGTAAGCCTTCGGGTTTTGCCTGAGCAAATGTGCCGCCGTTTCAGTACCAGAGTTCCGTTCATTCGATGGGCGGGCGAGTGTGCGCCTTGCTTGTGCTTTGGTACATTATAAGGTCAGAACTTATTCTTCTTATTATTTGAAAAAAAAAAAAAATTAACACTTAGCAAGTTGATGTACAACTTGAAATAATAATTGGTATCACTATTTAAGCAACAAAAGATAATCATCGATGTTGTATTTTGCAGTTTTTTGAATGGTACCAACTAGCCCATTTCAACAGCTGACAACTCTATTCCCGACTGCTGTGCGCTCTCTTGGCGCTCTCGTAGCTTGCTCAATAAACGCGCGTTCTCTGTTTTTGCCGGCGGTGTATATGTATTGGTTTATTTATAATTAATAATTGCTAAGAAACATGTAAAAATTGGCTTTTATTTATTGTTAACTGGTATTTTGGTTTGGCCAAACGTTATTGACGACTTAACAATTGTAGACGACACAAGCGCGACAACGTGGAGCAACAAGCAAAGACACAGCGTTTAAATGAAAATAAATTATAACTTTTGGCCAATTACCATGTCACAATGTTATAACTGTAGCATGTTACTAGATTTTCGATATTTTAACTTATTTATCCACTTATTAATGGTTAAATTTACATTTTTTAAGTACTTTATGCACGAAACTACAAAACTAGCCAATTGGCTGTGTAGGCCGGCCGATAAACTGCCCGACTGTCGATTGCTCATTTATCGATAGATTTTAGAGCAACTGTTGCGAAACGGTGGAGCAACGATAATTCAAATAAATATTTTGATGATTTTTTCAGAAAAGTTTTAGTTTTTATTAGCAAACAAGTTAAATATCACCCGTAACAAGATTAACATTTAGTCTTACACTTTAACCACAATTTTACCACGCATATGGCCGCACTTTAAGCGCTCAAAAGCCTTTGGCATGTCGTTGAAGTCAAAGCTGCTGTCAATGAGCGGTATTAACTAGAAATATAACGATTATTAGACTTTAATTGAGCTAGTAATACCCTTGAACTAACCTTTCGACGCTCGACCAGACGCTGCAGAAACTCAATGCCATGCGCCGCCGGAAAGAAATAGCCCCACTTGACCAATCCGCCGCGCTGGGTGACAGCGCGCACATTTGTCTGCACCAAGTCGGAGAAGTTCTGAAGCGAGCCCAGGCACAGGCCACTTTTGTCAATATTTGCCAGCAGCGGCGAGTTGAATGTGATATACTGCCGAAAGTCGTACGGCAAGTCGGAGGCATGCTGTCCGCCCTGCCCGGCGCAGTCCAGGACAATGTCGTAGGGCGCATAGGTGCACAGCTGCTCGTTGGCATCGGGCTTCGTATAGTCCACCACGTAGTCGGCCAGACAGCGCACCATTTCCACGGCATCTTCGCTGCAGGTGGCGAGCACTTGGGCGCGCTGCGATTTCAATATCTGTATGGCCAATGAGCCGACGCTGCCCGATCCGCCGAGCACCAGCACACGCTTATGTGCACCACCGCCCTCGGACGTGGTGGCGCCGCATGGACCGCCCAAGCCGCCAGTTAGATACAAGCCCGACCAGGCGGTCAGACCCGCATAGAGCACACTGGTCGCCTCGCCGTCGTCCAGTTCCTTAGGTGCCGGCGCCAGCTAAAAAAAATGCAATACATAATAAAGTTTAGTGACTCATAACTGCAGTCGGTACTTACACAGGACGAGGGCACCACAACATACTCGGCATGTGCGCCATTCGGATTGGGTATGGGCACCACGCCCCACACCCGTGTGCCCAGCGGCAGCTGCTTGTCGCAGACACCCATGCCCTTCTGGACCAGCTCGCCGCAGAACTCACGGCCCAGCGTCAAGGGGAACTCAATGTCATCGTTGGCCTGACAACGCAACTGGTTGAGCAGCGTGGATCCGTAGCCGCCCAACATGGCTATATCGATGGGATTCACCGCTGTGGTGCGCACCCGCACCAGGCACTCGTCGGAGCTGCGGATTTGCGGCCACTTGAGTTTGTTGGACAGCTGCAGCTCGTCGATGCCGCCGTAGCTGTGCAGCTGCCAGCCGCGCATCTTCATGGAACATGTCGCCGACGGCGGAGACGGCGGTGGCGTCGCCGTTTCTGGCTCCTCTGTTGAGACTGTTGCGGCATTGGCGAAATTGCGGCTGGCGGGCAAAAGCCGCGGCAGCAATGCGAAGAGCTTTAGCGGCACACGAATACCTGCGCCTGCTGCCTGCATGTCTAACAAGCGTTCGTATTAAAACTTTAAACTACGCTTTTTGCTTTTATGTTTACAAGCGTAATTTGCGCAATGTTCAACTGTGGCTTATTTAATAAAGAGGACGTAAGTGTAAAAGGCATAGTATGCTGATCAGCAGGCAATAACAATTCAATTAGACTTTGAAAAGACCTTACCTGCTGTTAAATAAATTATTTTCTCTGCTATTGCACAATAAAGGAATACCAAAGAACTAAACAAGGTGTTAAATTGTAACGCATAAAAGTTAAATCCAATCAATTTATTTACATAAAAAATATCGTACATTTCCTTGGCTGTTATCTCTGCTCTGCTTACTATGCTTAAACGATAATTTGAGTGTAAGGCAATGTAAAATGTTATCGATATTCAGTTACTTCCATCTCTACTAAAAATACTATTCGCCAAAAAAGCCGACGAAAATTAGCAAAGTCAGGGACTGCAAAATGGAGCCAACGCTGGATAATTACAAGATTAGCTGCGAGCTGCTGGGCCACAGCCTGGATGTGCGCGCAGTGGCTGCTGGTGGCAACGCACCAGGCGGTGGCCAATTAATTTTGTCCGGCTCACGCGACAAAAGCACAAAACTCTGGAAGCCAATCGGGTGCGTACCAAGACAAAAAAAAAAAACAAATTGCCTTCTATAGTTTGCCGGTTTAATTGTCCTTTATTGTCCTTTGTTTTGATATTTAAGCAACGATTACATTGAGAGCGTCACGCTGCAGGATCACAAAAACTTCATATCCTACATCTATTATCTGGAGTCGGAGCAGTGGATCTGCACTGCCAGCAACGATGCGACAATATGCATCTACCGGCAAGAGGGCTTTGTGCCATTGATCACGCTTAAAGGTCACGAATCGACTGTCTGCACTCTGGCCGCGGGCCTCAAGTCGCGCAGCCTCATCAGCGGCAGCTGGGACAAGACAGCGCGCGTGTGGACCATCAGTGAAACGGGCGATGTCACATTTGTCACGCTGCAGGGTCACGAGGCGGCCGTTTGGGCCGTGGCAACGATGCACACACAGCAGAAATATGTTACGGGCGGCGCCGATAAGTGCATCTACTACTGGAATGCGCAAGGCGAAAAGCTGCGGCTACTCAAAGGTCACACAGATTGCGTGCGTGGGCTCGTACCGCTGCCCGCCAATTCTCTGCTCTCCTGCGGCAACGATGCTGTGCTGCGCTTCTGGAACGAGGACGGCGAGTGCGTGCGCGAGCTGAGCGGCCATACCAACTATATATATGCTATGGCACGCAATCAGGCGCTGGGCGAGCACATTGTCGTCTCGTGCGGCGAGGACAGCACGCTGCGCATGTGGAATGTGATCACAGGCGACGAGCTGGGTGCCCCTATTCTGCATCCGGCCATTTCAGTGTGGTCAGTTGCGTGCCTGCAAAACGGCGACATTGTTACCGGCTGCAGTGATGGCGTTGTGCGCGTTTTTAGCCAGGAACCGACTCGCCAGGCTGCCGAGACTCTCAGACGTGCCTTTGATTTAGCCGTGGCCACGCACAAGTCGCAGCTTACCGAGGAAATCGGCGGTGTCAAGAAGACAGAGTGAGTCCTGTCCGAGCAAAACATTTCATCTCAATCCTAATTGCATGCTACGTTTCCAGCCTGGCCGGACCGGAGTCTTTGTTAACCAATGGCACTCGCGAGGGTCAGACGAAAATGGTGCGCCATGTGGATGGCTCGGTCAAGTGTTATGTGTGGGAACTGGGTAAATGGAGCCTGGTGGGCGATGTGACTGGTGCCACGGGCGGCACACAGGCCAACTCCGGCAAGAAACTGCATGAGGGCAAGGAGTACGATTATGTGTTCAATGTAGATATATCCGATACGGAGCCACCCATTAAGTTGCCTTACAATCGCGGCGAAGATCCCTGGCAAGCCGCTCAACAGTTCATACACCGCAATAACCTGCCCCAGGCATATCTGGATCAAGTGGCCAATTTCATCGTGAAGAATTCGGAAAATCCGCCCGCCGCGGTGACGCAAACGACAACGTCTGTAGAGTTTTTTTTGTGGGTTTCATCTATTTAATATTTAAATTCCTGTTGCAGTGGCTATCAGGATCCTTTCACTGGCGGCTCACGCTATGTACCCGGCTCCAGCAACAGCAGCGTCCGGGGCAGCGGCAATATGGATCCCTTTACTGGCGCCTCCAGCTACTCCACTGCCAACAGCAATACACAGTCTAGCGTCGATGTGAATTTTGTGCGTGGCAGCGATAAGCACTTCCCTGTCAGCACCTATCGCACCTTCGACACATGCGATGCCAACAAGGTGTTGGAGAAGATGAAGTAAGCTTTGCCAGCCAATGGTTGACTATAAATGAAAATGTGTCTCTTCTTCAGGGAGTTCAACAATAAACTAACCAGCGCAGAGGGTAAAGTGGGCGACGAAGTCTTACTCGCCGTCATACGGCTGACGGACAAGTCACCGGAACTGGAGCCGACAGCCTTGGAGGCATTGATGATGCTGCTCAAATGGCCGGCTAGCATGCTTTTCCCGGTGCTCGACATACTGCGCCTAGCTGTGCGTCACGAGGCCGTTTTCAGTCTGCTGCACAATAGCCACAACTTTTTGAATGGCGTGCTGCCACACCTGGACGGTACGGCGGCCAATCAGCTAATGGTTTGCCGCTGCCTGGCCAACGCCTTGACTCACACAGTGGGACGCCAGCAGATTGAAGCCCAACTGCCGCAAATCATTGAGCTGGTTAGCTGCATACGTGCGGGCAGCCCCAATTTGCAAATAGCGATTGCCACGTTTTATCTGAATCTGACCATATCGCAGACGTTGGGCGCAGCCCGGCCAGATGTGTGTCATGTGACCACCTCGGGCATTGTGGAACTGCTCAAGTGGGCCAAGGATTTGGAGGCCTGGTATCGCTCAATGCAGGCCATTGGTAATCTGACTACCACACAATGCGGCCAGGAAACGATCGCCCAGATTGTCTCCGTTGATTATGTGATGGATAAATTGCGTGAGCTGACAAATACACCGCAGGACGAAAACTTCACCAAAGTCAATTTGGTGGGACAGGCGTTACTTGCCGTATTTTAAGATCTGGCGTTGCACGCATTTATTTTTAAATTTTATATATTGGAGTGTGTCGTTTTGAGGGTCTAATACAATAAATACCTTTTGCTTAGCCTAGATTCATGTATATAGATATACGCGCATTAATCAACTGACGGCTTGGGCAACTGTCCAGCAGCTTCCTCGGTTGATGGCGCCGCTTTGCGTGTTTGTATGCGCTCCAGCAGCTCATGCTTCCAGCGCTCCTCCGGCACACCCTTGGCCCAGTCGGGCACCGTCACATTGGGCAATGTTATTTTCGACATGGCCTTGAGTATCTATGGGAAAGAACTGTTATGC